CTTCACAGGCCTAGACTGCGCTGGGCTTGGAAGGGGATAGGGGGAGAGATGGGATAAAATGCAGGAAGAGGGATAGGGAGCAAGGGGGTGTGGGGGGGGTTGTGGGGTTGTTCAGGCAAGCCGTCCATCAACAATCCGGTGGGGGGGGGTTGTTCTGGCAGGCCGTCAACCAACGATCTTGAGGAACGTAAGAGAGCTCAAGAGCTCCCAGGAAAGCAGGTGGTTAGTGACTGAGATTTACAGATAGATACATGCAGTAATATGATGTACTGTATATGCACAGAGAGAGAGGAGCTCAAGGTGCCAGTTCCCAGTATTCTAAGCCTATAGCAGCATAACTAGGAGCTGGTCTACACCAACACCAGCCCTAACGATAAGATTTATCAAAAAGTAAAGTTTTAAGTCTATTCTTAAAAATACAGACTGTGTCTGCCTCCCGGACCCCGGCTGGAAGATGATTCCAGAGGAGAGGACCCTGATAACTGAAGGCTTTACCTCCCATGGTCCACTTAGAGACTGTAGGTACCACTAGCAGGCCCTGCATTCTGGGACCGTAATGTTCTCGAAGGGTAGACCAACACTAGTAGCTCCTTAAGATAAGATGGTGCCTGGCCATTTAGAGCTTTGTAGGTGAGAAGAAGGATCTTGAATTCTATTCTAGATTGTATAGGGAGCCAGTGCAGAGAAGCCAACACAGGAGTAATGTGGTCCCTTTTCCTAGTTCTAGTCAGTACACAAGCTGCAGCGTTCTGGACTAGTTGAAGAGTCTTTAGAGACTTACCAGAGCACCCTGACAAAAGAGAATTACAATAATCCAACCTGGAGGTAACAAATGCAAATTAGTTTTTCTGCATCATTTTGCGACAGGATATTCCTGATCTTGGATATATTACAAAGGTGAAAATAGGATGTTCTTGAAATTTGCCTGATGTGAGAGGTAAAGGACATATCTTGATCAAATTGAACTTCTAGATTCCTAACACTGGTGCTAGATGCCAGGCTGATGTCATTGAGGACAGTCACATCACTAGAAAAAGTCTCTCTGAGGTTTTTAGGGCCTAGCACAATAACTTAAGTAGCAAAACATTTCTGGTCATCCAGATCCTAATGTCCTTAAGGCACGTTTCTAGCTTACATAACTGACTGGTGCCATTTGGCTTCATTGATACATAAAGCTGAGTATCATCTGCATAACAATGAAACTGTATGGAGTGTTTCCTCATAATATTTCCCAGAAGAAGCACATATAATGTAAAGAGAATCGGTCCAAGCACTGAACCTTGTGGCACTCCATGGCTGACTTTGGTGTGCATAGAGGACTTATCATTATCGTGTACAAACTGAGATCGGTCTGATAAGTAGGATTCAAACCAACTTAAAGCGGTCCCTGTAATTCCAAGTAAATGTTCTAGTCTGTATAATAGGATCTGATTGTCAATAGTGTCAAAAGTAGAACTAAGATCTAACAAGATGAGCACAGAGAGAAGTCCCCTGTCTGAAGCTAGAAGTAGATCGTTTGTAACTTTAACTAGTGCAGTCTCAGTGCTATGGTGGGCTCTAAATCCTGACTGAAACTCCTCAAATAAACTGTTGTCATGGAGAAAGTCACACAGCTGATTAGCTACCACTTTCTCCAGGATCTTTGAGATAAAAGGAAGGTTGGATATAGGCCTATAATTAGCTAGAGTTCCTCAATCTAGAGTCGTTTTTTTGAGTAGAGGTTTGATTACCGCTACTTTAAATGACTGTGGTAAGTAGCCTGCCAGTAAAGACATATTGATCATATCTTATATAGAGTTGCTAACTAAGGGAAAGACTTCCTTAAACAGCTTGGTTGGGATTGGGTCTAAAAGACAGGTTGACGGTTTTGACGCAGAAATAATTGAATTTAGCTCTGAAAGGTCGATTGGAGAAAAACAGTCTAGATTAATATCAGGTCCTGGAACAGTCTCTGCCATGTCAGACGTATCTGCACCAGGTAAGGGCAGGAGGTTATCAATTTTGTCTCTGATGTCTAGAATTTTGCTGTTGAATAAGCTCAGGAAATCATTACTGCTGAGGGCTAAAGGAATACGAGGTTCAATGGAGCTATGACTCTCTGTCAGCCTGGCTACAGTGCTGAAATGGTATCTAGGATTGCTTTTGTTTTCCTCGATTAGAGAGGAGTAGTAGGCAGCTTGAGCGTGACGTAGAGCCTTCATATATTTTCTATGACTATCCTGCCAGAACAAACAAGATTCTACCATTTTGGTCGAGTGCCATATTCTTTCAAAATTTTGCGACGTTTGTTTTAGAGTTCTGGTTTCTGAGTTGAACCATGGAGCTAGTCTCTGCCGTTTGATAACCTTCTGTTTTAGGGGAGCAATCGAATCAAGAGTAACTCTCAGCGAATCCACTGCATTAGCAACAAACTGATCTAGCTGAGAGGGACTAAAGCTATCATAAGAGTTTCCAAATGGGCTGAAATATGGTACTGAATCAAAAGCAGCTGAAATAGCTTCCTTAAATCTAGCTACAGTACTATCAGATAAACTTCTAGAGAGCACATTTTTATTAAGCAGAGATCATTCTGGTAGGACAAAGTCGAAAGTAATAAGGAAACGGTCTGATAGAAGAGGATTTTCTCGGAAAACTATAAGGTTTTGGATTTCAATGCCATAAGCTAAAACAAGATCCAGGGTGTGGTTGAAACGATGAGTAGGTTCGTTTACACCCTGGGTGAACCAATAGAGTCTAATAATGACATGAAAGCTGTGCTAAGGCTATCATTATCAACATCCACATGGATATTGAAGTCACCTACAACAATTATTCTATCACTGCTAAGGACTACATTTGATAAAAATTCTGCAAATTCAGTTAGAAATTCAGAATATGGGCCAGGAGGGCGGTAAACTACATCAACTAGAACTGGCTGAAAGGTTCTTGAGACTGGATGTGAAAGCCTAAGAACAAGGCTTTCAAAAGAAGAACAATTCAGCTTTGGTTGAGGGTTAACTAGAAGACTAGAATTAAAAATAACTGCTACTCCACCACCTTGTCCAGTGTCTCGAGGTATATGAGTACTAAAATGACTGGGAGGAGGTTGACCATTCATTGGTATGTTGTCACATTTCTATAAGTAAATTAAAACACCAGAGTGCTTTTTGGCATTTTAACGCTTCTTTGCTCCGCAATAAAAACTTTTAGAGAGTTTTAGGTTTTTATGGTAGAATTTTAGAACTGCATGTCCTGATTTTAAGTGTTTAAGACAGTGGTGGAATTGTGGGGAGGCTGAAATCCGGAATCTCTGTCAGCAATACACTCTCAATGTCACGCAGGAAAAGAAAAGCCCTGACAGACCTGCTGGGCACCAGGGCCCAGGGAACCCTCATCAGATCAAGGTTCCAAAGTGTGGCCCAGATGGATGCCCCATCCAAGTTCTTCTTTGGACTGGAGAAAAAGAATGACAGAGCAAATGCATTCATCGCCTTCGATCAGCGAAAGGACACAAGCTGAAAGAGGCTGGAGACACCAGGAGACATGCTGTGGACTTCTATTCCGGACTATACAACAGTGACAATAAAGACCTGTTTGATTAATTCTGTGACAGTTTACCTCGTGTCTCTGAGGACTCCAACCTGCTGATTGGAGAGCCTCTACAGGTACAGGAGCTGTCTGCAGCTCTGCAGAGCATGGAGGGAGGAAAATCTCCCGCAATTGATGGGCTTTCTGTTGACTCTTTGGGATGAGCTGGGAGGAGATCTTTCTGTTTTAAATGAGAGCCTGGCTGAAGAGTTATTGCCCCTCAGCTGCAGAAGGGTAGTTATCACACTGCTGCCAAAAAAAAGGTGATCTTCAGGAGATCAAGAACTGGCGTCCTGTTTCCCTGCTCTGCTACATATACAACATCTTCTCCAAAGCTCTTTCCAACAGTCTGAGGGCTGTCATGGACCAGATCATCCACCAGGACCAGACCTAAACCCTTTTCACACATACAGGAATCTCCTGAAAAACTCTGGAGATTTGGCTACCCGGAGGTTCTTTAGGCTATGTGTGAACGCAAACAGCCGCATTTTTCGCGTGGATTTTACCCGGAGTTTCTCCGTCCAGAGTCCTAGTATTTTTTCTGCAGAAAGTCAGAGTGAGCTGATGTCTGAGCATGGCAGCATATGTTTATGTCAAGTCTTACCTCAGGAAATCCCCCGACCCCCCTCCACAGATATAAAACAATTTACAGCAAGTGAAATATATTTTGCAGAATGTATTAAAAAATAAAGAAAGTTAAATATATTTCGCATCAGTCCCTACATTTTGGGTTAGGGTGTTTTTTTAAATGTTTTTGTGTTTAATAAAATACTTTTGCATGTAGTGAAATGTTTTTGCAATCATGAAATATTTGCACAGTTGACCTTCAGGGCCACCGTTACTTAAGCTTTATTGTGCTGAAGGTAAGTTTGTTTAGAGCCTGGCATTAAACACACAGCGGATGACAGAGAAGAGAAAAATCAAATTCCAATGATTTACATAAGACCTGCATTCAGTATGTTCACCTTTCTGAATGATTTGTTGGGTTTTTGCTTTACTTATATGTTTAGCTCTTCTTTTGGGGGAATGGAAAGTCCTTTTTTTTATCTCTACGTTACATCACATGACACATTGAAAGTATCCTAAAAACAAATGTGTGAGTCACCTGAAACAGATATAATGATTCTTAATTGTTGTATATATTGTCCATCTTGCAACACATAATCTTGCCAAATCAGCAAAGCAGGTTCAAAATGGATTACAAAAGGGAGATTGAAGAGGATGAAGAGCCATAAAAGAATGCAGCTGCAGCAACAGTGTAACGTCAGAGCTACATAATGACACACATGCACACACTGTCATCCCTATTCACACTTCAGTCAGGGAAGAGTCTGTCTTTTCTCTGCAGCAGGCTTCTCCTTGTCACCCCCCCCTCCCTCTCTCTCTCTCTCTCTCTCTCTCTCTCTCTCTCTCTCTCTCTCTCTCTCCTTGTTCATGTTGTTTTTGCTGTGCTCTCTATCTGAAGCAGCAACACATATGAGCACTAATGAGTGTAGCAACCCCAACGCAGAACTCAGATCAGCAAAACAGCAGCAGCTGCTTGACAGCATCTCAGGCAAAGAGAAACAGGACTGATCTGCATTTAGCGAGAAGGAAGATTCGGTGTTAAGCCAATTACAGCCCTGGGAAAGTCGAACGAGAGGTGGTGATGTGGCTTCAGTGGTAAATAAGCAGTCAGTTTTGAGAGAGTGAGAGGAAAGGATTAGCTCTAGAGTAACAGCTGACCTTCTCCACACTCTGAAGCTGACTCTCAGTGCAATCATTTATCTGGCTAAAGGCGAAGAACCTTTCCCCTCCTGGAGGAGTTAAACAATGGAGGAGACGCTCACCTGCACCCGAAGCCCTTTCTCCCAGGTGTTTGGACGTCAGGGTCAACTCATGCAAGCCAGTGAGTATTGACGACAAGCTAAAGTCTGCAAAATATCAAAATGCAAAGGTTTCACAACCTTCTGTTATTCTGATTGAGTATACAATGGATGTATGCCTTGTGAATGAAGTGCATCTAGAGTTCTTTTTTTGTTTTTTGCTTTAAACAAAAACTAAGAAGCCATGAAAAGGAGTCTTTTAGTGGGATGTTCTGATTTTAAATGATATATTAAATTACCTTTTTTATAATGCTTCTCTTTTATCAGTTGTATGAGGTGATAATGTATTTTCTGTCTTCTCTGCTCTTATTTCCTAAGGCATCATTCATAATGAGTATTTCATTCATGTGTTATATATTCTTTACTAAGAAATAACAGCCTAATACATTGTGGCAAACAAGTTAAGTAAAGATTATTATCAAATCATATCTGGTGTAATACAGTTTTACAAAGCAAAGAGTTAATGCTAATAGACTGTGATGTTCCTTTCATGCGCATGAGAGATGTGTGATGTGTGAGTGCATATGTGTATGTGCTAAGGTTTGTGCAAGAGTGGAGCTTACAGTCTGAAATGACATCTTAGTATGTGGGCTAATTTGAGTACAGATGAATCATATAAGAGAGCAGATTGTTTTTCAACCTGGTTGACAAAAAACAGAGTGCTGACAGCATTGATTCCCATTAACTGAGAATTTAACATTCCCATTGCATCTGTGTTAAAAACTGCCTATGTGATGTACTTTATGGGAATCACTTTTTGATCAATATCTGAATGTCTTATCTTCAGTATATGGTGCCAGACACCCACAGCCTCCAATCAACCCCTATGTGTGGGTGCATACATGCACTATTGTTCTTGTATATGAGACTTGGCGTCACTGTGTGCTAGAGCTTTAAAGCTCTTTGGTTGCTTTCTATTTTTTTTGGATCAAACCTCACAGCAGGATAAAATATGCCTCAGGCATTCTGTTCCAAGGTCAACCCCTAACCCTGTCACATTAGTTCCAAAACAGAAAATAGCACCTTTTAGCTGTGCAAGGTGTAGTGGGATGCAAAAGTTTCTTTAGTACAGAAAATTATTTTATTTCCCGTTCAACTTCCCATATAAGGCAGGGTTGTTACTTTCTTTGTCATGAATTGAGCTGTTCTGGTTTTATTTTGTTATTGATTAATAAATAATGACCATTGCTTCTAGGCTGCTGGTCTCTACAGCATTGGAAATCTTTGAATCTAGAACAGAAGCTTTCCTTCCATCTTTTGTAAACCTGCTCCTGGTGATTTCCTCTGTTTTTAGGTCAATGGCTGCATTTTGTTTGTTTGTTGGAGCCTTCAGTTATGTTCACATTGGCTAAGATTGGTTAGCTTCCCTAATCTGAAAGATTTAAATTATTACTCTCTTAACATCAAAAGAGATTGAGGAAAGCAGCAGTCAAAGTGCAGAGTTCTCATTTTAAATATCAGTCACTGCAAAGGTGATCTCTAGGTGAATTAAACCTAAATGTCACTCTCTGGTTTTGATAAATGACTTTATCATTGCATGTGTTGTGTTGTACTGCAGTCAGTATTGCGTTCCCAAAGTTATCTATGCTCTTTGAAGCTTGTGCTGCATGTCTGAGATTTTAGATATACGAGGGAGGGAAGTGGAGGGAAAGGAGGGGATGATGGAAGGAAAGCAGAAGAAGCAAGGGAGAGGATGCTGGGGGGTGAGCAAGCTGCAAATTGTCTGAATAAGAGATGCATGTTTTTTATTCTATTTTTAGCAACAACCATACAAACTGTTACACAGCTTCTAGCAGACTAATCCACAGTAGCGCTAGCTGGTAATATCTGAACGGAAATTATAGAAGGATTTATTGTTATCTTTGGCTGTCACTCATCATTGGCTCAAAAGTCCCACAGCATATAGCTCTGTATATGCAGAGACCTGCCTGAATTGTAGAGAGAAAATCCATTACATGAGTGTTGCACATGCCCAAAGACTTGAATATTAACAACCTTCTTGTGAAACCCTGGCAGAACACACTTGACAGATTTTTTTTTTCATGAATCCCATTCACGTGGCAGAGCCAGGTGCTTAATCCTGCTACGATTTATTTTACTCCCTGCTGAAGCTATGATCTGCTCAGTGTATAGTGAATGTATATTATATAGTGTATATGTGTTGTGTTGTCAAAAAAATTCCTGAGCATACAAGGCTCGCACTTGACTGTAGAGTGTGATAACAACATTTTTAATAGTCATTTTCTTGGGGGAAAGTTTGTTTTTTATGTTTTTAACTTATTATGGTAAGTACTGTTAATAAGTTCTGTATTTTTAAAATGTTATTTAACCTTCAATTTAACCAGGAAAAAGTCTCATTGAGATTAAAAATCTCTTTAACAAGAGCGTCCTGACCAAGACAGGCAGCAGCACAATTACAAGGTTTCAGACATAAAACACTTAACAACAATTTACATAAATAAAGTAATCACAAAATGAACTATTCATCAGAATCTGTCATAAGTCATCAGCAACAAAGCGATCAAAAAGGGCAATATGAATTAGTTAAAACATCTACAGTCAAATGTTTCTGCCTCCAGATCATTAAGACGACCTTTAAAAACATTCATGAAAACCAGCTCCCGAAGATTTAAAGTATCTTGCAACCGATTCCAAGAAGAGGGAGCAGCATACTTGAACGCCCTTTTTCCTAATTTAGTACAGGCTTTATGAATATTTAAAAGTTGTAAATCCTGCAAGCAAGGATGGTAACTTCCAGTACTTATTTGAAGTATGTAGCTCCATAGGTAGGATGGAAGCAGACTGAGAATACCCTTATAAATAAAAATATGCCAGTGGTTTAGTCTACGTGCAGACAAGGCAGACCAACCAACCCAAGCATACAAGGAGCAGTGCTGAGTAAGAGCTTTAAGATTGGTGATAAACCTCAGCGCCCGATGGTAGACAGTATCCAGCGCATGTAGGCTTTGCGAGAATGCGTGCATGTAAATAGCATTGCCATAGTCTAGCGGAGACATAAAAGTGGCAGCAACAAGTGTTTTTTGGCCTTAAATGAAAAGCAAGACTTTAATGAATCAATCAATCAATCAATCAATTTTTATTTGTATAGCGTCAACTCATAACAAGTGTTATCTCGAGACACTTTACAAAAAGCAGGTAAAAGACCTTACTTATTGCTATATTACATCTACAGCCTATCCATCATGAGCACTTTAGCAAAGCAGCAAAAGTTACAGTGGGAAGAAAAAACGTGCATCAAGAGTAATGTGGTCCCTTTTCCTAGTTCTAGTCAGTACACGAGCTGCAGCGTTCTGGACTAGTTGAAGAGTCTTTAGAGACTTACCAGAGCACCCTGACAAAAGAGAATTACAATAATATAACCTGGAGGTAACAAATGCATGAACTAGTTTTTCTGCATCATTTTGCGGCAGAATATGCCTAATCTTAGATATATTACGAAGGGGAAAATAGGCTGTTCTTGAAATTTTCTTGATGCAAGAGTTAAAGGACATATCTTGATCAAATAGAACTCCTAGATTCCTAACACTGGTGCTAGATGCCAGGCTGATGTCATTAAGGACAGTCATATCATTAGAAAAAGTCTCTCTGAGGTATGTAGGGCCTAGCACAAAAATTTCAGTCTTGTCTGAGTTAAGTAGCAAAACATTTCTGGTCATCCAGGTCCTAACGTCCTTAAGGCACGTTTCTAGCTTACATAACTGACTGGTGCCGTTGGGCTTCATTGATACGTAAAGCTGAGTATCATCTGCATAACAATGAAACTGTATGGAGTGTTTCCTCATAATATTTCCCAGAGGAAGCATATATAATGTAAAGAGAATTGGTCCAAGCACTGAACCTTGTGGCACTCCATGGCTAACTTTTGTGTGCATAGAGGACTTATCATTAACATGTACAAACTGTGATCGATCTGATAAGTAAAGATAAAGATAAGATAAAGATAAGATAAAGTTTATAAAGATAAACTTTATTGATCCCCCATGGGGGAAATTTTTGCATTACAGCAGCTCAAGAAAACAGGAAACAAGAATATAATTATTAAAAATAGAAGTTAAAAATCAAACATATTTACATCAGTTAAAAAAAAAATACAATAATAGAAAATTACACAGTATCTACACTTCCACTTGTGGAAAGAGTTATTGTTATTAAAAACACACAGTGTGTAGCATTATTGAAATGGGTCATGAGGTGGTGATGCTGTTAAAGAGTCTGATTAAACAGTCTGACGGCAGATGGGATGAACGACCTGCGGTAGTGCTTTGTCTTGCAGGGTGGGTGTCTCAGTCTGCTGCTGAAGGAGCTGATCAGGGCCCCCACAGTGTCATGCAGGGGGTGAGAGGGGTTGTCCATGATGAATGTCAGCTTCACTAACATCCTCCTCTCACCAACCTCCTCTACAGAGTCCAGAGGACAGTCCAATACAGAACTGGCCCTCCTGACCAGTCTGTTCAGGCTCCTCCTGTCTCTCTCTGTGCTCCCTCCTCCCCAGCAGACCACTGCATAGAAAAGTGCAGACACCACCACAGTGCAGTCTGGGGTGACTTCCTGCGGAAGTCAATCACCATCTCCTTTGTCTTGCTGGCGTTGAGCTGAAGGTGGTTGAGCTCACTCCTGTCGACAAAGTCCATGATGATCTGCCTGTACTCCTGTTCGCTCCCCTTAGACACACACGCCGCGAAGGCTGTGTCATCGGAGAACTTCTGCAGGTGGCAGCTCCCAGAGTTGCACCTGAAGTCCGAGGTGTACAGGGTGAAGAGAAAAGGTGAGAGAACTGTCCCCTGAGGGGCCCCTGCAGACCACCATGTCAGACTCACAGTCCTGAAGCCTCACGTACTGTGGTCTGTTGGTGAGGTAGTCCGTTGTCCATGCAGCCAGGTGACAGTCCACTCCCGCCCTCTCTAGCTTCCCCCTGAGCAGTGCAGGCTGGATGGTGTTGAAGGCACTGGAGAAGTCAAAGAACATGACCTTCACAGTGCTGCCTGCGTTTTCCAGGTGAGTC